ACATGATGATATTTTTAAATTATACAATTTCAGCAAAATTATCACCTGATAAACCACAAAAATACACACAAAGAAAAATAGTTTAATTTCCATCATAATATCAGCACAAAACTATCAATTTCTCTGCACTGCAATTAGTCAACAAATGATCCGTAATTAATTGGGAGTATTATTCAATTATATTGCTTACAATCTAACGCGTTAATTTGATTCTATTTATCCCAGAATCGTTCACATGTTACTGTTTAGTGTAAATAACATGAGTGGCTTTCAATAAATTCGTGGTGAGTTTAATGAATTGAAATTCATTTGAACAATCTATTCTGTCTTTCTCCCTAAACACTGACATATTTTACATTCCCAGCAGTTTTATCAGCATTAAAGTTTGATGTTTCACTGGTAAAATCTATTGGCTTTTGTTGTATATTTTCAACTGATAATGACTTTGAACATGAATTCATTTATCACTCTTCCAAAAATTGAGATGAGGGAAAAATAGAGCACCAATTTTGGCACTGACAACACACAAAAGACATTTTCCATATTGGGGATTGTATTAAAAATTTCATGTAAATTTTCCTATTACGCATTAATGTTTCCCCACAGGATTTCGTTATATAACATTACAGCCATTCAACTCCCGCGAGAATAATTTAAAACACAATCCAAATAGTAAATTCCTTTTCCTCTCTTTCTCCTTCTCCTCCTCGTTTGTCAAACACTTTTATTCTCTTTTATTCACACTCACACAAACACAATTGATTGTCGTAAAAAAAATTGATGTAAAGAAATTATTTCATAAATTATCATATGAATATTAATTAAAATTCTCGCTTGTTGCGAATGGCAAATTAATCAATTTTACCACCAAACATCAAAGGAAAAAATTCCTCCTCTGAACAATTATGATAGCGAAGAATCAGCAAGAAATTGAGTGCAGAAAAAGAGAAAGAAAGAGAGAGAAATGATAGAAGATATTCTCTAATCACAATTATTTTAATTCCTTCTGAAGATATTGAGACAGAAACATGTTTTGTGAAGAGAAAAATTGATCAAAATTACCAGAGAATATTTTCCTCCTTCCGTTTTTTCTTTCTCATTATTCGCAATGCACATTCATCAAAAGCGACTCTCGAAGTGCATCATGATGAATGGAAAATTTGACTCATCATCACGCGACAGTTTCGCATTTTCACATTCTTTATCACAATGTTCAGAGAGTGAGGGAGAAAGAGAGGAAGTGTGTTGTTTGTTTTTAATTAAAAGCAATTAGAATTTGTGCCCATTAATTGATTGAGTGCCGCCACAATTCTATTCTAGACTCTTCTTAAGCTCAGTGCAGAGAATTTCCTCACATTAAATCCCGGTTTTTCTCTCTTCCACTACAAAATCTGCAATGGTGAATTGAGAGTTTCCACTTTTCATTCATCAAATTGAATTATCAATTCACAAGTTTTCAAGTTCAATCACTGATCTTTCATTTCAGCTGCACTTTCTCATCACATGAGCTACTTTAGACTTCTACTAATCAACTTTAAACTAATACAAAATTACAGTAATGATAGAATTTTTAAGACATTGGATAGTTTTGTATGTTAAACAGTCCGAAAATGTTAAAGTTCTCGCTAAAACCAAACTAATAGAGCAATTCTCAGTCAAACACTGGAATTTTAAACTTTAAACATGTAAAAGTTTAACATACGAAATGAATAAGGAAAAATATCTTTTGCTATTCTCACTAAAACAGTGTTTTAGAGTTCTTAAGCCATTCCACAATGTGTAAGAGAAGAAAATTTATGAAATTTGCCAAAATTAACAAAATTTAAGGGATAAAAAGAATTAACTGTAAACATAAATTCATGTTCATGCTTGAAATTTAGAACCACAATAACAAATTAATCAATCTTTGCAAGTTATTCTGCACTTTTCAATTTGTCACTCAATAAAACAACCTCTGAAAGGTTAAAATTACACATTCAGGCGGTATAAATTGGCTTAACAAATGTGAGAATCAGAAAAACAAATTTTTTTTTCAACACAAATGGTGAATTTGGTGAAATTTGCAACTCAGAATATCAGAAAGGTTGTTTTAAATTACTTTAAAACATCTTTAACATTCCTCCGTTTCAGTGAGAATCAGTCCAAAAGTCTCGTTCTTTTGGACTTTGCGAATCTGTATAAAGTGTGATTTAAGATGTTTTTCTTCAAATCACCTAATTTTCAGTATGATTATCAATGCACGGCTTGAAATTCTATAGAGAGACTTTAGAATCACATTCTCCAGACGGTGTTTATGTTGTGTTATGCATTGAAAGGTGAATGGAAAATGGACAGACTAGATAAAAAGTGTAGAGTTACAAAAATTGAAAGGCTTTTTAGAGCTTCTGGGCACCATGAATGAAATGGCAAATAATATTTTTATATCTCTCTCTTCCCTTGAAAGAAACTCGTGTGTGTTTGTGTGTAAAATGACACGAAGAGAGATCAGCGCGCGAAGCAAGTGTCTTCCAACATCACTCGATTATTTTATAGAGAAGCTCCGAGAAGAGGTGATAAAATATAAAATTTGAAATGGTTTTCCATGTCACTTCTCTCTCTCTCTCTTTCTCTCCCTCTTCGGCACTATAGATTAATTGATCACTAACTATAAAAATCATTCCATAGTTTCGTTACGAGTGAAAATTGGCACCTCTTCATCGAGAAACCACAATGAAAAATCCCCCCAAAATGAAGAGACAGAAAAACCAATGATTCATCCCAAAACAATAAACCAAAAAGCATTATTATAGAGGAGAGAAAGTTTCTCCGCACTCTTGTAACAAGACAGAAAAGACGAAGGAATACATTTTCCATCCCGCATTCCCGTGGTTAGAATGGCAAGAAAAGAAAATCAATAGAAACGGAGGAAAACGCAGAAATAAAAGTGCAAGCATTCTAATGGGATTTTTCTCTCTCTTTTTTACCTCCTCGTTGTACAATTTTCCCGGCTCTCGACGGCCCGGCTGAACTAGCTGAATCTGTCCAGTGGTGAAGCCCACAAGAAGTGGAGCGCCTTCGCCCATCGCGTTGGTCGAATTGAAATCATGGCAACTCGGATTGGTTCCCTTGTACAGTTTCTTATCAATGGGCTTGCTCAGATCCGCCGTTTGCTGCAAGAAACAGAGGCAAAATATCAAGACACTGGATTAGAATCTCAGTTCAATAAATATTGTGTCAATTGACGGGTGTAAAAACCTGAAATTCTTCAATTCTTCAATTTGTCCTCCACAAAAAAAGCAATAAATTGCAATAGAAAATATATTTATGGCTTAAGAAAATATGATCAGCGCGTGATAATTGTGTGTGTGTGAATTGCTTCTTATTCTCTGTCTCATGAATAATTTTCACTTCTCAAATGCACTTCCCTTTTGACAAGGAAAAACCTTTTTTCCCACGAAACACGTAAGAATTCTTAATGAGACGAAAATATCCCCTCAATTGTCTTCTGTCCTCTAATCATGAATTTTCAATGTCAACCCCCCATTTGTGGCGGTTTTGTTATTAACAGAGAGCGAGAGAGAGAAAGCGAAGAGATGACAAACTATCCAACTTCCGACGGTTTATTTTCGTCTTGTGTAACAATTAAAAGAATCTGACATGAAAATGCACTTTTTTGCAAAACCCATCAAAAATATTATTTCCATTGATATTATTATCACGTGCAGATTAAATATTTGTGATTAGAGGACTTGTAATCTCTTAAAAGAAAAAAAAAGATTGCTTTCTTCCATTTCCACAGATAACAATCTTTCTAACACACACTAAAAATATCATTCTATCCACCTGTGTTTGCCTCTTTGTCACTCCATGGAAATCTTATCTTTCTGTACCAAAATACAAAAATACCAAAAGAGGTCTTCAATATATTATTTTTAGAGGAAAACAGGGCCCAATTGGACTGTCTTGGAGTGCTTAAAATGCTCAAAAAAATCAGTGCAAATCAAGTTCTGTTGATAAGGAGGCAAAAAGGTGGCAAATCTGGCCAATTGACGCGCTCCCGGACAGCGAAATCACCCTCAGAGTCCACGTGACAGTCGTGGGAAACCCCGAGAGCGCCCCCGAGCCGCTCAGAGCGGCTGGAGTGGCGGAATGGCGGAAGCGGCGACCCTCAGTGCACGCATTAGCGCTGCATTGTGTGTCAATTGGCCGATCCGGATGTGCCAATAAACACATGACAAATCTCGCAGCGGCGGCGAGACGGTGGCAAGAGGCGGCGGTTGTGGGTTATGTAATGGCTCGCGACGCTCTGAGTACCTTCTTCACGCCGCGGTAGGCGTATACGAAGAGCTCCTTGCCGAAGTTGTAGCAGATCCGGTCGCCTCCGGCCGCCGCCAGGGCGTACCCGGACGCCTCCTGACCGTTGGCGGTGGCGGGCGGCGGGGGCGGCGCCGTCGCCTGGTGGCTGGGCAGCGACACGATGGAGACGCGCACCTGCGGGGAGCTCTGGTTGCTGGTGTAGCCGACGCGATTGGGCCGCGAGTACTCCGAGAGCGTCATGAGACGATAGGTGCCCTCCCGCGTGACGAACTGCGTCTTCAGGTCATCCTTGCCGTTCTGGTCCAGTTGCACAGCCATTCCGACACACTGCTGGCCACTTCACACCACAAGCTCATCCACGATGCCCGCGGCCACACCACTTTTTCCTCCTGCTGAGAGGGGGGCGCCCGAGATGCTCCGCGCGGACGAATGGCGAAAAATCACTGTCTTTGCACGTCCCTGCACACTGCCTCAGGGCATTCCTGCTGCTCCTGCACGAGGCATACTGCCCAATTGACCCGATCACGCACTGCACAGTGCTGAAAATCCCGTGAAAATCTACAAAATCCCAAAATTTGCCATCAAAAAACTCCTGCTCACACTGTCACTGTCAGACTCTCGCCCAATCAGGAGCGCGCAGCGAAATCCCACGGACCACCCATGGAAGAGCGCCGGACAATTCTCACCATCGTCCGACTGGCCGACACTCAATCTCTCCTCACTTCACTGTGGTCAATTTCAAATCGCAATGGTGCGAATCTCGGGAAAAATTGATAATTTCCTTAAAAAATCATTAGAATCCTTTATTTCTTCTCCTTCTTGGGCTTCTTCAGCTTCGGATTGAGCTTCTTGGCCAATCCCATGTTCACGGAACTGCGATGTTTCTTGTTTCTCTGCAACACACGTGAAGATTAGTCAATATTGATCCTTGAGAAAGAATTTCAATTCTCACCTTAGATTTTCCCTTCACTTCAGCACCTTTTGTCGTCTTTCCTTCTGGTTTTTGCTTCTGAACACTCTTTGGACCCTTCTCAAGGCGCTTCACATTCTTTTTCGCTTGGAATTCCGTCTTCGCCTTTCCACCGCTCTTTTTCTGCGGAAGTTTCTTTCCTCCAGGTTTCGCCTTTTGTCCCTTTTGCTTCTCCGGAGCGCCTTTCACAGCCTTCGGCTTGGATTTGTATCGCTCCACACGAATTGGTCGATCATTCATCATTGTCTGATTCAGTTCCAGTGCCAAACCCACGGATTCTGGGTTCTTGAAGCACACATAAGCCGTTCCCTTGCATCCCAAGGGACTCCTCAGCGTCCGCACGTACTTAATTTCCCCGCACGACTGGAAGATCTCGTACAGATCATCGTCAGTCACGGCGTAGGTCAGATTTCCCACGAAAATCGTCCTCTTCCCATCGAAGTACTTCTTCTTCCCGTCAGCCATCATCACGCGAATGTGCGCCTTCCGGAAGACCTTCCCGCTGGCCTCCTGAGCCCCAATCGCCGCCTCATCCTTGTCGAACACCAAGTAAGCAGTGATGCACGGATGATTCTTGATTTGCCGACAATTCTGGATCTTCTGGCCATGAAATGTCCGCAGACGAATTGTTTTGACAGTTCCAAAGCTCGCGAAGAATGCCTTCATCTGGCTTTTCTTCGTGTTTGTGGGCAGATTCCCGACGAAAATAGTCCTGCTCGCCTCAGAAGGATCATAAGCCGGTGTGTCTGTGGGGAAATGATTAATCAGTGCCAGGAAATTGGTAAAAATCAACACAAACACTACCTTTCTTCCGTGGCGTGGAATCCTCATCTGACTCGTCAGACAGTATTCCATCGTTTTCTTCCAGGATTTTTTCATCTATGTCTTGTTCCACGGGTTCCACAACTCTTTCAACTTCATCCGACTCAGATTTCTTCACTTTTTTCACTTTCTTCACCTTCTTCACCACATTTTTCTGCTCTTTTGCCTCCTTTCCCGATGTTTTCGCCATGCTGCTTTTTCAGGTTATGTTTTCATGTGTTTACATCTTCATTTCATCACCCAGTCACCAACAGCGCTGCAGTCGCTTCAGGTCATCTCGCAAAGTCCCACAGGGGGCGCTGAACTCGCAAAGTGTTCCAAAATCTCCCGCCAAAAAACCCATAGAAACCAAAATCACTCAAATATGGGGGAAATTAAAAATGTATTCAATTAATTTACATTAATCTCGGTGTGTGTGTGTGTGTGTGAACTGTGTAAAATTCAGTTACGGATGAAGTGCTTTACTTCCTCATTGTCTTCTCCAGCTGCTCCGCAATTGCGGCCAGGAAGTCCTCAGTGTTGAGGTACATGCCCTCCTTCACATTGGGCAGTCCGTGAATGCAGCCGGCTAAGTCTTTGGTCATCTTGCCCGACTCCACGCAGTCCACGCACGATTGCTCCAGCGCCAGGGCGAACTTGGCCAACTCCGGCGTGCCGTCCAGCTTGGCGCGATGCTCCAGGCCGCGCGTCCACGCGAAGATCGACGCCACGGGATTCGTGGAGGTGGGCTGGCCCTTCTGATGCTGGCGATAGTGACGTGTCACGGTGCCGTGAGCGGCCTCGGATTCAATTGTCTGCGAGAAGAAAAGGAAATTGCATTATGAGCGCGTTTTAGGGCAGGAAAACGAAGGAATTGCTCACCTTTCCGTCGGGACACATGAGGACGGAGGTCATCATGCCGAGCGAGCCGTATCCCTGAGCCACGACGTCCGACTGCACGTCGCCGTCGTAATTCTTGCACGCCCACACGAAGCCTCCGGAAGACTTAAGTCCCTGCGCCACCATGTCGTCGATGAGGCGATGCTCATACCAGATCTTCGCGTCGTCGAACTGCTTCTTGTACTCGCTGTCGAAGATCTCCTGGAAGATGTCCTTGAAGCGGCCGTCATAGCGCTTCAGGATGGTGTTCTTCGTGCTCATGTACAGCGGCCACTTCTTCTGCAGCGCCACCTGGAAGGAGGAGTGCGCGAAGGCGCGGATGCTCTCGTCCGTGTTGTACATGCCCATGGCCACGCCGCCGGCCTTGAAGTTGAACACCTCCTCCTTCGTCACCTTGCCGCTGCTGGACGTGAAGACCAGCTCCAGACGTCCAGGCTCCGTCAGCACCAGATCCTTGGCCTTGTACTGATCACCGTGCGCGTGGCGACCGATCACGATGGGCTTCGTCCAGCCCGGCACCAGGCGCGGAATGTTCTTGCAGAGGATCGGCTCGCGGAACACCGTGCCGCCCAGGATGTTCCTGATCGTGCCGTTGGGACTCAGCCACATCTTCTTCAGCTTGAACTCCTCCACGCGCTGCTCATCTGGCGTGATTGTGGCACACTTGATGCCCACGTTGTGCTTCTGGATCGCATGGGCGGCATCGATGGTCACCTGATCGTCCGTCTGGTCGCGATAGGGAAGCCCCAGATCGTAGTACAGACACTCAATCTTCACGTACGGGAAGATGAGCTTCTCCTTGATGAAATGCCAAATGATTCTGGTCATCTCATCGCCGTCCATCTCCACCACAGGCTTCACCGCCTGAATTCTCGCTCCCGAAGCATCTGCAATCAACCAGTGAAGGGTTAATTTCCACACCATCTCTCCTTCCGCGTCTCTGTGTTGATCCATTTCATAAGATTTGACCGTGAAAATGTGTTTTATCTTCGCGTGTGACGCGATCTCGCGAGTCTCCCAAAAAATGTGCGTGTGCGAAGAGAGAAACTTGTTCCTCAATTTCAACCCAAAATATTCTAATTTTACTTCTCTGGACTCTCGCGGCGCTTGATCAACTTCAGCAAATTTACACAGCATAAGTGCCTGACGTCAGCCAAGATCGCATTTATCTTCCTTTTACATTGGACTTGGAGATTGATGAAAAGCGAAAGAGTGTTCAGAAAACTGTGCGATTTTCCAACATTTGTGAGTTTATCAATGAGTTTTCCTCCTGCGTAGAGAATTTAATTTGGGGCAATGCCATCACACGTCATCGAGCATGTGGCAAATTCAAGTGTTCTGAAGCACAATTCAAAGCTCAGAATCGTTCAACAAGATTGATTGAGCAAGAAAATCAAGAAAATTCACAAAGAGACAATTTAGAGGTTATGTTTCTCACTTTTCATGCAATTTGCAGGAAAAATATCCCGTCGAGAGTGAGAAAAAGACTGTAAACAACACATTAATGGCAAATTTGCGTGAAGAAATGCCGTAAAAAGTGTGCAAAGTGCGAAAACTGTCAACTCCAGCTGTCATTTGCTTCATTTTTGTGTAAAAATTCGTTTAATTTCCATTAAAATTACAGTAAAATGTACTTTAATAGCCACGAAGAGCTTAATTAGAGATCGTTTGCGATATTTCGCGTTATTTGCTTCATTAATTAATATGAATACAGAGTCGATTAACGATCTTCTAAAACGATACCGAAAAAATAGGGCAATTTTAGCATAATCTCGCTGCAGAAAATCAAATTCAATTTCTTCCCACTGAATATTTCAATTCTTTAACAAAAAATGCATCAAATTTATTAAATTCCAAGAACTAGGATGATGGAAAATAACATTTCAATGCCACAAAAATAAATAATTCAGCTCTTATGTGCAATTTTATTGGACACTAATTACACTTCATTTCAATATTAAACTCACTATTAATTGTAGTTTTTCAGACTGAATAAAATTGATTTTATTTGCAAAAGTAATGAGGAATTTGCTATGCAGACTTTTAATGAAATTCCAAATGAAACTTGTAATAATAATTTGTACGATAAATAGGCAAAACATTGCCGTGAAAATTGCGAACTTGAACTCATCATCATTCGTCTCAGAGTGAGAAGAAAAGTCTTAAAGGCATTGAAATGACATCTCACATTGACTTGTGTTCTTTCTCACTTGGAAAAATGTTAATTATCACTCACAAGTGGTTTGGCGACTTGTTTTTTTTCTGTATTCAACTCTCGCGATCAGTGATATTTGCGCAAAGAAGTGTTGGCAATTTTCAACTGAATGAACATCACAGCCCTATCAATTTGTCAATTGCACGAATACAACCATGATAAAAATTGCTACAATTTCAAATTTACGACACTCTCACGCGGGGTCACGATAATTGATCGTGACGCGCTTTTTTCCTTTAGTCGCACACAATTTTATATCAGCAACCAAAGAAAAAGTGTCTCTGTTTTTTCCTTCGCGCAATTATTATTATTTTTCCGCATTGAATTTTGGGGAATTTCCAGAAGAAACTCTTTTTCACAAGTAGAAAGAAATCCTTCAAAATCTCTAATCATCAGGACAACTTTCAACTCTTTTTTCTCAAACGACAATTTAATGGACAAAATTTTATGAAACCACGACACCAAATCGGATCACATGCTCTCGACTCAGATCACTTAATAATACGTGATCGTGACGTATTTTTGCCAAACAGAATTTCAGAGCGGCAATTTTCATCGTATCAACTGGCACACTGTGTAATTATAAAAGCCAGCTAAGCAAGCGTTTTTGATAAAAGAAATCAAACTATATACATTAATTTGCCAGCACTACAATTCGCAGGTGACCTTCGTTTGGATATTCACTCGAAAAATGTGAACAACTGACATAATCCAGATAAAAACTCTAAATAAAATATTCAACAGACACATTTCTGCTCTGCCACTCTTTTTTCTTCATGCCCTCAGATGTTTGCTCATTCAACCGCAACCGCGACAGCTCGAAAATAATTCTGTCTGAGGGAAAAGAGCCCAATTTACCAAGCGAAAACTGTGATGCTCTAATTTTCACATCATCAGCATTTCTCTCTCTCCTGGTCGATCAATATCAGTCACGGCACATTTTGAGATAAATCAATATCGAAGGATAAAATGAAAACCATGAAAACTCAATTTATCCTTGGATTTATCATAGTTTTCGTCTTACGTATTTTTGAAAAATTCTTTATCTGTTCTTTTATTGGTTAAAAAATTTCGAGATGATCATATAAATGATAGATTTATTAAGATTTTGGAAAATAATATTTGTCATATTTCATAATTTTCTTTTTAATTTGAAAATTTTATAGAAAAGTTTATGTCAAATATGAAAAATTATTTTTTTAAAACTTGTTTGGATAAAATGTAATCAAATTATTATTAAAATCGACTTTGGAAGGTTATATTTTTAGTTTTCTCTTAATTTTGTCATATTTCAGCAAAAAAATCCAGTAAATACTAATAAAATCAACTGAAAAAATTCAGAAAATAATTATTACAGAGCAATATTAACCAATTGGCGGGGAATTTGATGGTTTTCAGGTAAATTTTACAAATTTCACAGGCAAGAGTGCGATTTGGCCACTCTTATGTTGAACAGTGATAATGATGAGAATCCAGGCAGAAAAACCATTGATGAGGCGACAAAGTTTCCTTCATACGTGAAGGAACAATTAAAGAAAATTCAATTTCGAGACAGAGACGCGATGAAGAAGCCACACAAAAATTTGATTTGGAGGACGAAAAAATTAAAAGGAAATCCTACTTACTCTATTATGGGTTTATCAGAGTTGAGGCATAAGAATTATCATAGATTGGTTTGTCTGAACTTCAATTGCATGATTTCTTGGAAGGTTTCTTAGGGTAATTTCAACCATTCTTGCATTGGGTAATTTGCCAAAGGAGCCAAAAGTTAATCGTTTTCTCCTCACCCTTTCTTAATCTAGGAAAATTTCCAACTCTTGGCGTCTCTTCAGCGACAAAACACATCGCAGAAATTCCGTGATGATGATCGTGATGAAAGTTGACACCATGTGGGCGTCTTAATTAAACTTATACACAAATTGTTAGCCGGCACAGTGTTTTAGTACTCAACAATCCATCATGAGGACGGAATAAAGCCTTTCTCTCTGTCACACACATTCCGCCGCTGAAGGAATTCTCGCCAGAGAGAACAAAGAGTGTGTGTCTCAACACGCGGAAGAAGGAGGGGCGATAAAGGGCTCCCGCGAGGCTCTGGCAATTCGATGGAATCATCTGGGCTGAGGGCATTTTCAGCACACCGTGATTCTCAGTCTGAAGAGGTGAACAACCCCAAAAACAGCGAAACACGTGAAGCCAATTCGTGAGATGCATTTTTGACCAAAGAGACGTCTTTTCAGGGCATTTTTAATGTCCGAAAAAGAACTCGTTTTCCAGGCGAAAAAAAGAGCCATTCAGGCCAACATTTTCTTCCTCGTGCGCGCATCGTCAATGCGAGTTGATCATGATGAGAATTCAAGTCAAGAAATGAGCACAAATCGCGTTCTTGACATCCAAATGCAACTGCCGAAGGACAGAGACATTAATATTTTGCATCTCTCAATTCCAACATCTGTGCGTTGTTGCGAAAGATATGCAGAAAATAACAATTAATCTTCTCACAATGACTCTCGATCAATGAGACTCTTTCCCGCCACTACGCATTTCCTCTCTCGCTCTCTCCGGATGCACTTGGTAGGTTTCTGGAGAATGAGTTCAAGGATGCAAATGTTGCGGCATTTGGCATTAGAAATTAAATAGAGACACAATATTATGATGAGCTGTCTGTGGACCGTGAGTGCAGCTGATAAGCAATGTATATCAATACTGGGTATGTTTGAGAAGGAGAGCACAAAGGCAAAAATAGCACAACAAGAGAAATAATGTAGTGCAAAAAAAACGTGATTGCTTTAATTGCTGTTGAATGGTTGTGAAATTTGACAAACACCCCAAATGCGTCGCATTACTTCCCCTCCCGAGATGCTTCCGCACCGGAGGACATTAAACTCCCCTTCCGAAAAAGCCACTCTTTGGCGCGAGAGAGCCCAAAAATCTTATCGCATTTCCCCGTGATGACGTGCAAAATGCGCCCAAAAGATACTCACAATTCCGCCTCGTGGATGCCGATGAGGCTCCACAGGGAAGAGCAGCCGCGTTGGGCGTGAGGAACTTGGAGAATTTCGTGAGAGCTCGAGCCATTGTTACCACAAATCGCCACGGAAATGCAAAGGGCACACGATGAACGGTAGTAAATGCAGTAGTAACGGAAATCCCGTCGTGAGATGCTTGACAGATCGTGAAACACCACAATATATCACACACAGAACACAGTCACTTCGCCGGTCGGAAAGAGACTAAACGAGAAATGGCCAAAAAGATAGCTCCCCACCCGGAGAGCGTCTCTCTCACGCACACTCAAGCGCGCTCGCGAGCGAGAGAGTGAAGAGAGAGGCACGATGGATTTGAGCAGAGCAAGAAGAGGGCATTCAGCAGGGATGTTGAGACCTAAACGCGCAGAGATTCGAGATTTTACACCACTTTTGTCCATGAAAAGTCGCTAAATATTGGAGTTCTGCGATTAAAACACAATTTTTAGCCATCAAATATTTTCGCTTTGAAATTATCGACACTTATCGACACGATTTACGTGCAAATTTCTTTTTTAAATACAATTTTAGTGGAAAAATAGTAAAAATCTCTAAAATTGTATTTAAAGATAACAAATTGCACGCAAATCGTATCGATAAGTCTAGGTAAGTGTCAAAAACGTCAATCTGTGCAATATATAGTGTGATAACTCCCTAATTTTCGCAAATTGTGTATAAATAAAATCGATAAAGAACTGAGAAAGGATCATTTTAAGAAGCAAAACTGAAATTTCTCAAAATTGCTGATTGTGCAATAGTCTCTCGACAGATTACCCCCTTATCTAAATCATTCTCCAATAAATTCGAGTCCCGTGTTCTCACAAATACCAGAAAAGCCACCTCTTGTGCGTCTCAATGGCGCAAAAATCATGTGGTTTGGGAAGCCGTTTTCAATCCCCCCAAAAAATCCACCAAAAATTCTCCCATAAAATATGTAACAACGCGCGTGAAGCTCTTGGTTGAGTCCACTTTCAATTTCTCCCCCAAAAGGTGGAAAAAGTAGGTATAATTCAGCTTTTGCGCACAATGAAAGTGAAAAGAGTCGCGCTCTCTCTTCCTGGTTTTTCATCAATGGAAAATATCGACATAATTCCACTGAAGTTTAGCATTCTGTTTAGGAATTTGTATGCACGGTTTTTGTGCTGGAGAGAAACGCCTTTCTTCAGAACTCTGGGGAATGACATTGATTGTTTGTTCTGAGAAATCGCGAGATGAACAAACATTTGTAAGAAGTTCATCGTCCTGATTAAGTGGATAATATCCAGTCTCTTCTGCTGGCTTACCTTGAAAGCGAACACTAAAATCGCGCAGAAAATGATCGCAAAACAAGAAGAAAAGATGAGAATTTCGCAAAAATCAGTTGAGAGATTCTTTTTGTCCTCATTCGTCACTGCTGTCGATTATATAAGCACAAGAGGAGGAAAATATTAAATAATCTATTTATCAGCCAGAGAATATTGTTACATAACCACCCAAGAACCTGACGCAGTTCCGACGCCACGCAAAAAAAAAAATACACATTTTTCGTGGAGTAAGTCAAACATTCTTCCCAGAGCAATATTGCTGATAAGCTAGCATATAAAGAAACTAATTCAACGAATCTCTCTCGGTCGCACTCTATATGGCACTTTTTGCCGCGAAAATCGCGTGATTAGCGTGTGTCTGGTAATTTATTTTGAACAATTTTTCCTCATTTTAAAATATTTATACATCTTCCGCGCTGATCCATGAAATTTCGCGGGCGGACAACGGCTAGTGTCGGACAAAAAAGTGTAATTTTGGCAGTTTAGTGAAAAATTCGACCTTGCGTCAATTTCTTCTACACGCACAAAGTCTGTTCTGGTCCACCCGCAAATAATAATCATCTCTTGCATAATGTTTGTTGGCAAAACAACCACTCTTGGTAAATATTTACTACGGCAATTCGCAATGAACTGCTTTCCATGAGCAATTTCTTCTCAGAGTTGTGCGGGAATGTTTTTTTATGCACCACCATTAAGAATTAAGATCATAAAGCTGACGCGCGGGGAATTATTGCACATTTGCTGGAGACAGTTTAGGAAAACATATTGAATTTCCAGTGATAAGACACACTTTATGGCTCTATTTTTAACCCAAAGCAAAGCAAAGCATTACAAAAACGCAAAGATCCTCAATGACTTTCTCGGAAAAATTATGTAGCATTTTTGCAAACGCGTCTAATCGTTCAGTTTGAGCTCTGAAAAATTTGTTGGAGAATCTTTGTCAGAAATACGGCAGTTTTTTTTATATGGAAATGTTGATGAATATACACAAGCAAAAGAGACCTTGAATCTCTCTCGCTCTTCTAGGGTTAAAATGTGGCAAAGCAAGACTCAGAATCCCAAGAAAACATTCAAACATTCAAGATCAGTGGACAACAAAAAAAATGTTTCGCTCCTCAAACTCAAAAACTCCTCGCAGGTTTTCTCATGGTGGAGTTCTTTTGCGATGTCTTTTCGGGCAAAAAGACGTGAATTTCTGACAAAAATAAATTGCCATTGGTTTTTTTCTCCTGTCTCTGTCTCTCTGTCTCACTGTTCATCACAAATACAGACTCGCCACGAAGCTTTTTGTCCACCGTTCCTGTTCCCACTCAGAAAAAATCCACTTCGTAAATCATTACTTGTGTCAATAAATCAGTGAATTGGCTCCAAAATGTACACTGGCGATGAGATACGCATCGAGAGGCAAAGAGAGTTGGTGAAAATTTATTCAATTCTACACCATATTTGAGGGTGATTGATCAGGTGGAAAAATTGGGAGGGAATTCACTGATAACGGGCGAGCTAACTCGTGAGAAAAGTGATAATTCATGTGACTCTTTCGAGGGGCTTTCCCACAACGTGGCTGGCCTTTATCTCCACCGCACTGGGAGGGAAATTCTTCACCCCTTGGCGAGTGTGCAGAGTTATTAGATATATCCCACTCCAGCCAGAATCGCGATAAGCTGCCACAAGAGGCCCAAAATTGCTTCAATTGCGCTCTGTCAGTTCAAGTATAAGTTTGTTTAATCAAATGAATTGCGCAACTGATAACACAGTCGATATGGAATCAGATGGCATCAATATTTTTTTTCTTATGCCTACAATTGGCCACGCAAAGCACCATTTGCCATTGAAGGAGAACTGTTGAATTTTTCCTGTGATATGAAAAGCCCTTGAGCATGATAAGGTTTGTCAACCTAAAAATATATGTTGGACAGCGTGAAACTGCTTAAAAATAGTATACTATATCTTTGTCATGCTGAAAAATATTTATACAACGCACTCTCACAACTCCTCCAAAAGCCATCGGCAAATATTTCCCCAAAGATCCTGTTGTGGAAAAGATGATGAAAAAAAAATGTGAATGAAACATGAACAGCGTTGTTGAAGTTTAATCTGAATGCAAATTTTAGCAGAGATCAGCGAAAATTTATAATTCTACGCTGATAAGAGAACCAAAACGAAGGCTTTAGCTACGATTTGTAGAATGTGGTTCTCATAGTTATTCAAATATAAATGTAATTTAGAGGTCAATGGCTATGGAAATGCTCGAAATATTAGAGAGTGAAGCTATTTTATACACTAAATAACTAAATATTGCAAAATTCTACTCAATCTCATGAATCTTTTGCGCTTTATTTAGGGCTAAATTCATCCTAAAAGTGCATTGAAGGCAGGTGGACAGAAAGAAACGAAACCTTCCTCAACAAATCCCCATTTGTTCCACGCCAAGAAATCTCAAGGGGGAAATAATACAGTCAAAAGTGATGTGCAACTCAGCAAAAGTGCTTAAGAAGTAGAAGTGCTCAAAAATTTACAATATTCATATCCTTGCTGTTTCGATTCTTCAGATTTATTTTCATTTTTACGGAGGAACAATAGTATTAGTTTCTTTTCTAGGTTATGTAAGGAATTAAGAACACATTTATTGAATAATTCGCATTGTAGAACGTCAATTCTTATGCTCAAGTCAGAAAAATCGTCAGTTATTGGCAGAATTAAGCATTTTCATGCCAAAAAAGACTACAAATAGTCTTTCTAGAAACCTTCTAGACGATTTTAAGCCCAAATCAGCAATTTTAAGTTCATTGGCAAATCATTACAGACGATTTTGTGATCTAAGAAACTTTTCAAATGGCGTCCTTATGGATTTTTAGTGATATTTTTTAGGTTATGGTCAAGTAAGATGCTCAAAAAGCAGTTTTTAAATTGATTTTTAAAGAAATATCGTATGAAAACTTAAGAAATGTGCAAACAGTCTAAAAATTTCAAGTCTTGAAAGTGTTTGAAAGTTGTTTACAGCTTTAAGGCACATTATCTCCTCCTTGGGAAATCTGAGAAATTCCTCAGGTAGATTTTCTCCGTAAAATCCTCCCTTGTGCGTCTGAAGGACCCTTTTTATTTTGCTCTCTTGGGCCAAAGGGGGAAAAAAGTAGTCTTGTCTCTGTCAGCTGAGCCGCGAGAGAGACTGCATGTCATATGACGCGCGCGCGTGTGTTGGTGAGAGAGAGAATCGGCCGGCTTCCCCATCGACAGAGAGAGAGAGAGAGTCTCTGGGCTCTTCTCCTGAGCGGGCTCGTCAGTCGTGAACGGTGACTCGAAGAGGTCGCTCGACGGCACTTTATTTCCATGTTCTTTCGTGTGTGAAGTGACTATCGCTCAGTTCTTCTGCAGTCCCACCTGCCAGGATTCCCCGTGACCACCGAGGTGAGTGTCTTTCATCCCCAAAATTCCCACATTGTGGTGAGCAATTGCCCCAAAACCCGCCCCTAAAGCCACGCTGTCGTGCACGAAGGAGAGAAAAGAAAAGAGCGAGAAACTTCCGCTGCGACTGGCGTAGAACAAATTCCCAGCCACGCCAGAGTGAGAGAAAGAAGCCATTCTCAGACCACTGAAACCCCGAGAGTTTGTGGAGAAGGAGAGGGGAGAGAAGGAGAAAATTCCACTGAAACTGCGAAGGGCTCGTCTTTTTTTTGTTGCTTCCATTTTAGTACTGAAAATCTCGTCTTTTTCGCCTCAAACACTCTCGCGGAACGAGGAGAACATTCGATGGCTTCTCGAGCCTGAATCGCGCGCGCTCTCAATTCTTCACTCCGGACGCAAGCGCCGTTCTCACCGTCCCTTTCGATGGGCCCCCGCTTTGCCGGCGCGCGAGAGAGCCGGAGGGGAAGCGCTCTCAGATAATCTCTCGCGAGAGAGAGAATTGACGACGAAAAGTGACCGAACAACTCTCACGATCCAGGATGACTCGAGATATGAACTTTTTACGGTTTCTCAAAACGTTACTGATTATTTTTTACTCGCTTTTTATATTCGGCACTTATTAAATTCGCTGTGGAGAAATGCTCAATTGTGAGCATAATATTTAGCTTATTATTTACATAATTTCTTAGCTAAATTCTTCTATATGTCCAAAAACTACAGTTTAACAGACTCTGATAATTGGCGTGTTTTAGGGCGAGAATTCCTAAGGAATTTATGTTTTATTTACCTGAAGAAAAAACCTTCGCCGGAAGCACGTGGAGAAATTGAAGCATGAGTTTATAAACTCGAAAGAAACAAATCCAAAGTGGCACTTGAAAGAGAAGAGACGATAATAGAGTCAAGTTTCTCTTTCTGCGTCTGTATTCTAGACATGTTTGTTAATTTTCCTTCATGTTTTTGCATTTTTCAATTGCGGAAAGCAGCAAGATCAGTCATTTTCCGGAAATGTCAGTTCTAACCTTACTTTTACCCTAAACTTATCTCAAAGTCCTATTTGTCGTCTCTTTTTCATTATCTTGTAATTCAATCCTTAGCATAATTCGCTTCTTGTGCAATTCTCTCAATTCCCGGCTGACTTTCCGCTGCAATTCTGCAGCCAAGATACATAATTTACTGATAAAGGAAATTTTATTACTCCACAACTTTCTCGCAGGTCTGCATATAGAATCATTCTGTGATTAGGATCATATTCTTCAGCAAAGATAACACTGAAGAAGTTCTATGCAATTCAAGGTCACGCTCAAGAATTGGTTGTAACGGCATTTGGGTAAGTATAACACATGTCATGTCATTGAGAATCTTAAAGAAAAAAATGTCCTTTTTCCGCCTTCCGTCTGGTCACACTTTGAATGCGCGAATTGCGATGATAAAGTTTTTCAATTGGAACCTTTTCATCAATTCATCTCACACTTTTGCTTTTATCGTTGAGAGTGCGAGATGCTGACATGTCTCAGTGACCCAGAAGATGGTTCTCGGTCGGGGGACAATATTCCTTATCTTGCGTATATGAGAAAATGGGTCAGAAATTGATTGGCCAAAGTTGGTGTGCGATGCTCAATGAGAGTCTTTCTCTCTCTCTCTCTCTCTTGCTCTGCAGATATAAGATTGCGAACGCTCTTTTCGCGGTGAAGAAAGTGATTTCCAGAGAAAAATAATGACACGAGGCGTTCTTCGACTTTGCACGCTCAGCGGTGAGCATTTGCTGCGCATCCCGCGACCAATCCATCCGCTGCGACTCTTTTCGGGATCTGTGAAGCTCCTGCAGAAGGATGGGAAGCCCGTGGAGGCTGTGAAGGGGATTGCCTACAAAAATCTCACAATTGGCTGTCCCAAAGAGCGATGGAATAATGAGAGACGGTGAGAAGAGTCAAAAATTTGCTAGCAATTGCTGAATTTCATGGACTCTTTGTCTTCCTCAGTGTGGCCATGACGCCTGCCGTGGCGGCGACGCTGGTCAAGAAGGGATTCAACGTGAATGTGGAATCCGGAGCGGGATTCGAGGCGAAGTTCCGCGATGATGAATATGTTCAAGCTGGCGCTAAGATTGTGGACTCCAAAGTCATCTACAATTCGGACATTCTGCTGAAAGTTCGTCAGCCAACGAATGAAGAAGTGCCACTGCTGAAGCCCGATTCCACCCTCATTTCCTTCCTCTATCCGGCACAAAATAAGGATCTTATGAATGAACTTGGCAAGAGGAAAATCAACGCATTTGGTAAGGACAATTGATTAATGCAATTTTTCCGCAATTCCTGATGATTTTCATCCTTTTTTCAGCCATGGATTGCATTCCACGAATTTCTCGAGCACAAGTCTTCGACGCACTGAGTTCAATGGCCAACATTGCTGGCTATCGAGCTGTCATTGAGGCCGCCAATCACTTCCCGCGCTTCTTCACGGGACAAATCACGGCGGCCGGCAAGGTTCCGCCGGCTAAGATCCTCGTGATCGGCGGTGGAGTGGCTGGATTGGCGGCAATTGGTCAGGCTCGTGGCATGGGTGCCATTGTGAGGGCTTTCGACACGCGTTCCGTGGTGAAGGAGCAGGTGGAGAGCATGGGCGCGGAGTTCCTCACCATTGACATCCAGGAGGAGGGCGGCACCGCCGGTGGCTACAGCAAGGAGATGAGTCAGGCCTTCATCGACGCCGAACACGCACTGTTCGCCAAGCAGTGCAAAGAGGTTGATGTCATCATCACCACCGCCCTGATTCCCGGCAAGAAGGCACCCGTGCTGATCCTGGAGGAGCACGTGAAGTCCATGAAGCCCGGCAGTGTGATTGTGGACTTGGCGGCCGAGGCGGGCGGCAATGTGGCCACAACGGTGCCTGGGCAGGTGAAGGTGGTGCACGATGTGGTTCACGTGGGCATCACAGATCTGGCCAGTCGTCTGCCCACGCAGAGTTCCACCTTGTATGCCAACAACATCAGCAAATTCCTCCTGTCCATCGGCGAACAAAACCACTTCGACATTCGCCTGGAGGACGAAGTTGTCCGTGGCTCGATTATCCTGAAGAATGGCGAACTCATGTGGCCACCGCCAGTCATTCCCGTCTCCGCTCAGCCCGCCGCGGCTCCTGCGGACACCAAAGCGCCCGCCAAGGCGGAACCCGTGCCAGAGGATCCCTTCCAGAAGCAACTCAAGTCCAGTCTCACGTACACAGCGGGTCTGGGGACATTGCTGGCTCTCGGCGTGGCTTCTCCGAATCCCGCCTTCACGACCATGATGACCACTTTCGGTCTGTCCGGCATCGTGGGCTATCACACCGTGTGGGGCGTGACACCGGCTCTCCACTCGCCCTTGATGTCCGTGACGAACGCCATCTCGGGCATCACTGCCGTGGGAGGATTGCTGCTGATGGGCGGCGGCGTGACGCCCTCGAACACGATCGAATCGCTGGCAGCTGGAGCTGCTCTCATCTCGTTCATCAACATCTTCGGCGGCTTCCTGGTCACACAGCGGATGCTGGACATGTTCAAGAGGCCCACAGATCCACCAGAGCACAACATGCTCTTCGGCATTCCAGCCGCCGTCTTCCTGGGCGGCTACGGATACGCCGCCATGACCGTGAGTGTCTCTAATCCCTGACAAATCTCTGAATGAATTCATGCTTGTTTTCCTCCGTAGGGCTTTCCGGAGATCCACCAAATGGCTTATCTGGCGTCCAGTTTGTGCTGCGTCGGCGCCTTGGCTGGACTCTCGTCGCAGAAGACATCGCGTCTGGGCAACACTCTGGGCATGATTGGCGTCACTGGCGGAATTGCCGCCACTCTGGGCTACATGGCGCCTTCCACGGATGTGCTGATGCAGATGGGCGGCGTGGCGGCTTTGGGCGGCGGCCTGGGCAGCATCATCGCCAAGAGGATCCAAATCACAGATCTGCCTCAGCTTGTGGCTGGTTTCCACAGTCTGGTGGGTCTGGCGGCGGTGCTGACGTGCGTCGCCACGTACATGCACGACTTCCCCACTCTGGCCACAGATCCGGCGGCCAATGTGCTGAAGACGGCGCTCTTCCTCGGCACCTACATCGGTGGCGTGACCTTCAGTGGCTCGCTGGTGGCCTATGGGAAGCTGCAGGGCATCCTCAGCTCAAATCCTCTTCTCCTGCCCGGCAGACACTTGATCAACGGCGGTCTGCTGGCCGGAAACGCCCTCGCCATGGGCATGTTCTTCATGGAGCCCACGATGGCCGGCGGCCTGGGTCTGTTGGGCGCCACATCGCTCATGTCCACCGCCATGGGAGTCACTCTCACGGCGGCCATTGGCGGCGCCGACATGCCCGTGGTCATCACCGTGCTCAACTCCTACTCCGGCTGGGCGCTCTGCGCCGAAGGGTTCATGCTCAACAACAATCTGATGACAATCGTGGGTGCGCTGATCGGATCGTCCGGAGCCATTCTGTCCTACATCATGTGCAAGGCCATGAATCGCTCGCTGCCCAACGTCATCCTGGGCGGCTACGGCACGCTGTCCACGGGCGGCGGCAAGGCCATGGAGATCACGGGCACGCACACGGAGGTGAATGTGGACGGATGCGTGGATATGATCAAGAATGCGAAGAACATCATCATCACGCCCGGTTACGGGCTGTGCGTGGCCAAGGCGCAGTATCCCATCGCCGAGATGGTGTCCATTCTCAAGGGCAAGGGCAAGAAGGTGCGCTTCGGCATTCATCCCGTGGCGGGCAGAATGCCCGGACAGCTGAACGTGCTGCTGGCCGAGGCGGGCGTGCCCTATGACGATGTGCTGGAGATGGAGGAGATCAACGATGACTTCACGGACACGGATCTCGTGCTGGTGATTGGCGCCAATGACACCGTCAACAGTGCCGCTGAAGATGATCCCAACTCCATCATTGCCGGAATGCCGGTGTTGAGAGTGTGGAAGGCCGATCAGGTGAAATTCTTGTCCTGAAATTGAATTAATGCAGATTTTCTTAACTTCTTTCCTCTTTTTTGCGCAGGTCGTCGTGATGAAACGATCGCTGGGCGTTGGCTATGCTGCCGTGGACAATCCCATTTTCTACAAGCCAAACACATCAATGCTGTTGGGCGACGCCAAGAAGACTTGTGATGCACTCCTGACGAAGATCAAGGAGGATCACTAGGAGATTTGTGTACAAAAGAACTCCCAATTTTACACCCTTTTTCCTCCCCATAAAAGTTCTTCCTCAACACAAGAAAATTCAATCGTCTACTGTAGATTTTCATATTAGAGAGATTGGATGTAAATTATAAATATATTTTATACACAACTTTACAGGCGGAACAAGAATTCACTGTATTTCTGCCTAAAACACACAAAAATCAGAGCTACAAAAGAGTTCATCAAAAGAGTTTTTAGAGACAATTTTTGTGTGTGTGAAAATTAGACGAAAGATGAAAAAAACAACAGATTTTCTAAAGCAATTTGTCGCGCATAAACAGCATTTAAACTCTAAATGAGATGTTAATTTAACGAATAAACTTTAATTTATTTTAACTAAACTCCAACTCTTTTCTTTGCCTCTTGCATCAATTTTTATAGAGCAGAATCCTTCGTGAACAAGGACTTCCCACCAAACGACCGTACTCGAGGGTCAATCGCCGCTCTTCGTCGCCGGCGTGCAGCTGAAAAGCAGAAAAAGTTGATAAATAAATCACATGATCGCTCAATAACAGCGCAATTTATCAACCACTAATTGCTCTGAATAAATCTGAGAAAATCCCACGCATTAAATCACGAGTTTCACACGAAATCAGTCGTTTAAGAGGCGAAATTCGGAATGATTGATGTGTTTTATCGATCAAAATATGGAAATAATTTCAATCTAATGTTTGTTTGCAAGCTCTGATTTGATTAGAAACAAGTGATGAATGTCGGTTATCAGCTTATTTTGCAATTCGGGGGAGTTGAATGAGATCAGAAACACTTAATCTCAAATGGGATTATTTTAAAAGACTCTCTCACATGTATGTAATCCTCAAAGTACATAATAGTGTTGTCGTACAAGCAAACAACACTCTCGAGATGCCTCAGCTGGAATTCATCCTTATCTCTCGCCTGCTCATCTTCATTGAATCTTGAATACTTTGATCGATCGAGCTTCTTCAGAAGATCTGCCAAAGACAAGAGTGTTCAATTACAAGGAGCGCAGGATGGAAAGGATTTCAGCACACCTTCCGTTATTAAATGCCACGTGTAGACCTCTGGGCAGAGGAGATAGGACGGCTGAAGCTTCCCTTTGTAGCGCATCTTCGGGCATGAGTGGATGTAGAAGCCCATGTAGTAGTACTTGAGCTCCGGACAGGACTTCTGCAGCTCGCGCATGAAGGCGATCTCACGCAGAGAGCTGTACGTGCCGAGAGAGAGGAAGCTGAACTCCGGATCGTAGAAGAGATAGACAGAACTGACGCAATTGCGCAGCACATCAATCACACCCACGGCAATGAGACGATCGTCCAGCCAGTACTGCTGATGGAAGGATCCGTAGCCCTTCGGCGGCGATGTGCTGTTCAGCTTGAGCTGCAATGGGGAGTGTTGCAAGAAACTCTGAAATTCATCCACATCTTCCGGTGGCTCCCTGTGAATCACTGTCTGGTATTTCTGATACAATTCATACTCCCTTTCCACACTGGACAGAAATTCACGCGAAGTGGCGCACACCAGTTTAATCTACAAGAGAGAGAGACAACAAGAAAGGGAATAGAAACCTGAAGTGGTGATCGACAGAGGAATCGTGTAAAGGATTCTCCGGTGTTCTTGGCCGGCGGATCACGATGGATCACAGTTTGGTACTTTCGATACAGTGCTAGTGCTTCACCTGTGGCCCCTTTCGCGGATGGAATGAGTTTCACCTGGAATTTGGGGCATACAGAAGAGTTCTAGGATTATTGCCGGGGCCACAGAGAACCCGCCGCATCTTCTCTCTCTCACCTTCAGCTTGTGCTTCCCATCGACTGGCTGCTCGCCCAGGAAGTCCTCCAGGCTCTTCTCCACATTCTTCGGCGCCTTGGCAAGAGGCTGCACAGAGATTCCCTCCGCCTCTCGCTGTGCCATCTTCGCCTGCTTCCGCTCCAGACGCAGAACCTTCGCCTTCTTGCACGGCGGCTTTGACATGTTCTGGCCAGCGCTCCTCGGCAGACTATCGCCACTCTCCATCGCCTGTGAAGGCTCAACCTTCAATGCTGATTCACTAGGCGGCCTGTCACTGCCTTTGGGCAACTTATTCACTATTTTACTGATATCTATCTTAGTGGCGGAAGCCGGTGGAATCATCTGAGGCTCACTGGCCACGTCAGATTCCCCATCATGGGCAGATTCCTTCTCTCCACACTCCTTTATCCCATCTCGCAGGAACTTGTTCATTCGCTTGAGGATTTTCTTGTGTGATTTGGACAATTTGAAGTTCAATGCGTCACATCTGCAAAGTTAGAAGTCTTAAGAATCTCTTTCCTTGAGGCTTTTTCTTCCCTCTGATCTCTCTAACCTTATTGTGTAGGAGGGACAGCAAGTTGTGGCATTTGTGGGTTTATAGCAGAATGTACCGGAACGCCGCCAGCCTCGATCAATGAGATCCTGATAGTCATTTACGGCCATTACGTGTGCCGTCATCCCTGCAAGAAATGCCCCAAAAAGGACTCGCTCAGCATTGATTTGCATGACAAAGAACTCTACGCGACATTCTCACCGTGAGAATTGCACGTGTTCTCCTTTTTGCAGTATCCACAGCGACTCTTGTTGAATTCACCATGATACATCACAATCGAATATTCATCAGACATGGAGTTTTCGTGGATTTTCCGTTTTCTTACCCCGAGAAAGCACAAATTTTCCTAGCATACAAGCACTTTGTTTTGACATACGAAACCTGTTGACGGCAACTTATCGACACACACCGTTTATGGGTTTCTGTGTATAACAGTTTTGGTATGACAGTTGAGCTTCCGCTCGGCCATGTCTCTTTTCCTCCCGAAGCAGTCACTGTGAAGACGGAAACATGGTTTGTGGCACAGTTTTTGCACTTTTCCTCGTGATTTTTCACCATTTCCTCACTGGAAATATATCACACTCGTAAATGAATAGTTTATCTATGAGTTTGTGATGAGATTTTGTGGAGCAATGAGTGAAAAATGCGTGAAAATCACGAAGAAAAATTTCACATGATATTGAGGTTATGTGAGCCGTCGTGGAAATAAATGATTTTCTTTTTCTCTGCAGTCGCTGATAATTCCGGAGAAATTCCAGCATATTCTGCGTTTCATGAATACAAATATCGATGGCAAGCGCAAGGTGCCCATCGCTATGACTGCCATCAAGGGCGTGGGGCGTCGTTACGCCAACATTGCCCTGAAGAAGGCCGACGTGGACCTCTCAAAGCGTGCCGGAGAGTGCACGGACGAGGAGGTGAGTTCAGCAAATGTGCCCCCCCGGGAAATGAAGGGATTGTAATTTGTGTGCGTGTGAATTGTTTGCAGGTCGAGCGAGTGGTGGCCGTGATCCAGAATCCACGCATCTACAAGATCCCGGACTGGTTCCTCAACAGGCAGAAGGACGTCACTGACGGCAAGTACTATCAGCTCACCTCGGCCGTGCTGGAGTCCAAGCTCCGTGACGATCTCGAGCGACTGAAGAAGATCTGCGCCCACCGCGGTCTGCGCCACCACTGGGGCCTCCGCGTGAGGGGTCAGCACACCAAGACGACCGGTCGTCGCGGAAGGACTGTCGGTGTGTCCAAGAAGAAGTAAAAATGCCCTCAATCTGGATTTATTCCTGGGTCCGGAATCATCGCTCTGGAGCGTGTGCTTGTGAGGCTCTTGGAATAAATTTTGCTATGCGAGAAATTGTCTTTTTCTCTCCTTTTAAACACATCACAAATTTATTGTTTTTTTCTCTTCTGGTAAATTAAATAAAAGATTTTTGCAAGATTCGTTAACATCCTTCACAAGTCACTCAGGCAGGGTCTCTAAAAACAGCTTTTTTTTTAATTGAGTTTCTTCTCTAATTTTCCTTCCTTATAATCAATGAAGAATCTCTAGAAATTCAACGTGTGATGGTAAATAGATTCAAGAACTGTGATGCCTATTTTTTGCTTATTGCCACTGTACGAGAGGCACTCTCAACAATTGAACGAAGCGATCCTTTTCTTTTGCACTGTCCTTGGATAACGCTAAATAGTTTTCTTTTGTTTTGTTTCATTATCTTCAGGAGAATATAATTGACAAACAACATACATGGCGACAAAAGCTAAAAAGTAATTTCTTCTCTTTGCCTTTAAATATTCCACTATAATTCGATATTATAAGTAATTTTTATAGTGAGTTTTCTTTTAATGTGTCGCTTTTACGAAGATAAAAGTGTTTTTTTCATTAAATATAGATTCACTTTAATAACAATTACAATGGAAGAATGTTCATTAAAAGTTAATTAGATTTAGAGAGTTTTATTAAATTTAATGACATTAAAGAGCTCATCCCGAGTTTTTTTCTTTCTTTCTCATCTTCTCAGTGAATTATAATTGAGACAAGGATTAATATAATTGAATAAATTTTGATACATTATTATTATTTTCTCTCTTTCTCCTCATTAAAAACCTTCTCGAAAGAAGAAAGAAAAGCACATCAAGGAATTGATAGAAAGCTTAATTAGATGATTTTTAATACGATAATTTGACTTTAAAAGTGTCTTTTTTTACTATATAATTTCATATTAGTTTTTTTTTTAACATAAATGTCAGAATAAAACACAATAAACAAAATATACCACAGCTTTTCCAAAGGAATTATGCAATTTTTAATAGCATTTCATGCGACACTTTTCAGAAATTTGGACATTTTTTAGCTTCTTTGTAAACTCTTTTCACCATTTTCACAGAGAATTGAAGTTAATAATGAATGAATGAACCTTTGTTTTTCAATGAGAATATACAAAAATAATATATTGAGATCCAAATTTGGTCGGCAGTGTGATTGCATTAGTAATGCAGAATTGAATTAGACAAAAAAACAGTGAGATAAAATTGAAGAAGTGATAAGGAAAGGAAATATATATTTTAGGAGGGCAGCATTTTCATTTGATGACGTTAATAAATTTAATTTGAGAAAAAATCACCGAACATTTTGGACTGAATAATTCAGTTTGAAGAATAAATGTTGCGTCAATTAAGCCAATTAAGCTCATTATATCTTCTCTAATTTCAGTGATAATTTCTCGTGATTATTCAATTTGTCACTGAAAGTGTTTAACAACTATAACTAAAGTCACTGCTCAACATGATTTCTCATCATCAGAGATTCTAAACAAGTCTATTTTTTCGCTACACTTTCAACTCTGCATTTTGAGGTGAAGGTGAAAGAAATTGTGTGTGTTAAATAAATTCTAAAGTCTCTCCTCAATTGTGTGTTTCCAATGTGATTTCTTGGTTAATTGCATAAGAATGACACTGAATGTTTTTATGAAAAAAATGATTTGTGAGTCTATTTCAGAGAGTATATTGCGTTGCATTAAGTAATATTGTTCTCTTCCTTACTGTTAATCCTTTTTTTCTTGTTAAATTATTCGCTAAATCATCTCACAACTACACCGACTGCGTGTCTCACATGCTTTCGCCAACATCTTCTTCTCCATCTTCTTCATCATCTAAATATAAGTAAATATTTTTATATCGTTAATATTCTTTTTTTCTTTTTGTATAGTGAATAAATTATTTGTCCTCCACAATAAATGTGTCTTTTTTTTGTCCTCTCTGCATCCTATGAATTTTCTCTCCTTTCACTCACTCACGCGCACACAAATCCTCCGCCAGCAGAGCCTGGAGAAACACACCAGCTTCTGCTCCTCAATCGTCGAGCATCTCGAGGAAAGCACGTGGCACGAGTCCCTTGAGCAAACCTTGCTTCCCATGCATATAGTCGGGATTCGGTGGATTACATTCTGAGACAAATATCACCTGAAAAAAAACCCGAGAGCAGAGCAGAGTGAAATTGTGCAATAAAACACACGCAAACACACACGCAATTTACGCACCTCATTTGCCGTCAAATTGAGCTCTGTACTTCCGCTGGCGTCATAAGAACACAGGACACGAGCCCGCCTCATGTTTCCACCACCCACTTCGCTACCATTCGCATCGCTGTTGGCCTTTTCATCGGGCAGTCCAACGGGAACATACGGATTGGGGCCTCCCAAACTAATAAATTCACGTTCATAGGAAAATTATATACAAAAATCATCCTCATTTGCACTTTTTTTTTTCTTTTGGGAAACTCAAGAAAAGGAAAAAAAATCATTGGCTAAATTCCAGGAGGGAAATTCAATTTTGACACAACGCTGCTAAAATCCTACAGAATTTCTTCAATCTCAACGATAAAATTCTATTCTTGCAAAGAGCAAAATAAGGAAAAAAATAAAGAGAAAGCATAGAAACTAAAATAAAAAAATTGTGTGACTATTTGAAGCTCGAAATAAATTCCAATTTTACGTTTATTGAATATCAACGAGGCGTGTTTTTGATTTATAGCAATTTCATACACATCAATTGACACTTAAATATAATAAAATCATTTATCAATTTTATTTAATAACTACGATACAAAACAAATCGGTATGAAAATCACCTCGAATTTTGATGTATTTTCAGTGTTTATTGGAAATCAATCCTTGAAGATTAAATGACTGCTTTTAGGAAAACAATTCAATGCCAATCAAATAAAGAACAAACAGTCTTAAATTGCTTTAAAAACAAACAAGAATCAACTTACGCCCCATTAATATCCAATGAAACATTTATATTCTACTGTAAATTCATCCAATTGCATAGAGATTTAATGTAATTAAAGGCAATTAAATGTGAAGAGAGAGAAGTTTATATTGAGATTAGAAAGATGTAAAAAGAAGAAGTTTCAGAATTCAAGTAATTTCTCAATGAGCAAAAGAGTCTCTTCTGTCAAGAAATTGTACAAATATTTACAACAACTTTTAAGGCATGATTTCATGATATGATAATTTCACAATAAGTCATCATATATTTTATGGCGGAAATTTACCGAAACATCTTATTTTTTTCTCTTCTCTTTTCTTTCCAAACATGCCAATATGAATATGTGTCTCACAAAAAGCCATATGGCGAAAATCAATAACTTCTTCTTATGCAATCAAACTGTTGTCTAATCGCCACCCACATCACAAAAGGAAAAACCAGACTCTTTTGCACCCCAACGACTTTCTTCTCTCTTTCTCTCTCTCTTTCTCGCCAATTCTAGACACTAGAAATATTCTCAGTGTGGCCAATTGAAGCAAAAGCATTGATAATCTCGTCATTATCGCCTTGCAAGTTCCTCATCGTGGGTGTTTCAGCAATGAAAGCATTCAATTGTGGCGACTGACTGTGGATGGCGGACAAGGAGGAAGTGGCATTGTGGGTGGTTAGCATAAAGGGAGGCCCGGACGCGTCACAATCTACGAGATCTTCACTATTGACACGCAAGCGAGGCGTTGGAGGACGCATGCTGTACGTGGAAGGATTTCGGAAGAGTTGTTTTAAGATTGTTTTTCAACGTTTGTTTGTTCACGAACAAAAACACGGAACAACATCGAGACATAAGTTGGATCACAACGATTATTTCGGGGTTGGTTTTTGTTCAGAAGAAGAAGAAGACAGGAAGAGAAAAAGAAAGAAAGTTGAAGAGAAAAAAAAACAGGGAATTAACGACAAATTAATAGAAAATATAAACATTTTTCGGGGTCATTCTCACGAGGGGGAAAAAGTACTGAACATTTTAGGGGCAGGAGACTTCTGGGATGAACTCACCTGGCCAATTCGCGCTGCAGTCCATTCATGATTTCCACGCATTGATTGAAGTAGCGCACTTGAACCTCCACGAAGGAGTGAAGGTGGCGCAAATGACTAGACTGTGATGTGCTGATGCCTTCCAACAGGAGTTTCGTGATCTCTCCTTGGCGATCAAACTCAGACTGCGCTATTCGAAGATCACGTTCGGCCTGAAAAACACAACAAAACACATTAGTTTTGAGAGCATAATTTCAAGTAAAGTCAGGGGAAAAAGTCCAATTGTTAGTTGGAGTAAAATTGCAGGAATAATTGTGAACAAATCAGCAATTGGAGGAAGGAATGTTAGCGAGATTAGTACCTGCTCCAGAGTCACCTCTGGTGGAATTCCATCTTTCTATAAAACACATTATTTTTTTTGTTAATTTGCCAGCAGCATTTGAGAGCAATGTTTACCAAGACAGAAAGCGCTAGATTAGTAAATTACATTGAGGGGAGAGACACAGTTTCAGTGACTGCAGTCTTGGCAGGAATGACTCACCGTTTGCTGTCCCAGCATGCTTCTGGCCTTCCTCACGCGATTCTTGCACGCATCGAGATCCAATCTGCAAAGGGGAAAAAGGACACTTTACAATTGCACTCTCACGACAAAGCACTTGCAGCTCTCACCTCTTTGTCTCCAGGATGCCCTTCTCCTTGATGATGGTCTTCATTTCGCCCTCGAGGAACTTCTTCAGCGGCTGCGTGTAACACATCCCGGCCGATCCGATAAAGTCCCTCTCGCACTGGCCCAGCTTCTGCTCCGCCTGTCCCACCTTGATCAGCGTACTCCCGTAAGCGCCATCCTGGCCAAACTCCCCGCCCGCCTACAGAAGACACAAGAGAGATGCGGATTTTGCGTCGTATTTCCCTTCTCCCCGGCTCAGTGGAAAATTTCACACTCACTTCAATCATGTCAAGGCCGAGGTACTCCAAGTTGCTGAGGCGGTTGGGCTTCTTCTTCTCGATCTTCTCGAAGATGAAGTCCTCCACGCGATTGCCCGGATTTGGGATCAGCACCGCCTCTGTGTTCCGCACCAATTTCTCCGTCCATAGCTTTGTGCACTCGGCGCGCTCGCTGAGATTCTCAAAGTGTGAGTCCAATTCCGTCTTCTCTGACGTGCCCAGCTTCTCTTCCGTCAACTGTGTTTTGCCATAGCGCGAGAAGAGGAAAACACAAACAAACCGATCAAGCTCGAGTGCTCGCATGACGAAGTCGTCACCCAGGAAGCCCCCACTCAGACTCACCTGCACCACCCGCGACAGGGTGCTGCCCGCCTCCTTCACCAGCTTCTTCACGTTGAAATCCGGCATTTTCACGTTCATCTCGACCACAATGAGCTCTCTATGTACACGGATTACGCCTTTTTCCTGCTCTCTTCACATTTATCAAACAATTTCGATTTTTCTCTGCCTAATTTCTTGACGTCTCCCCCGCACAGACACCAAATTTGCCGCAGTGGCGCTGCCGACGCTGATCGACACGATGACTGTGTGTCGAAAAGCGCGCAAACTGAGCCAAAAGTGAGGTTACACTTGAATTGGGAAACCGGCTCTGGTTTTCTCTGTAAAATATCACTTTTAATTCCACAATAAAATTCTCTGCTGTGCAACAAAGCGCAGAATAAATACAGTAGTTCTCAGAATGAAGAGAATTCGAGATTCACTGAGATGAGCGAGTAAAATTGCGTTTCCAAGACATTTATTTACTTGTTTGTTCGATGATCTTTCCTGTTGTTCCTGTTCCTGTTTTCTCTTCTCTATAAAAGAGTGTGAAAAATGCCCTCAATATCCTCACTGATTGAAGTCTCGTAAGTGTTTATCTTCTTACCAGTTATCACTTGACTAATCACTGTTGAATATACGCAGTTGGGTGAAGCACAAACACGTTGAATCATCGTGCTTCCTGGGAAAAGGAATTCTCTTTTCCGGACACAGCAACTCTATCGTCTTCACCGACACATCCACCGGAAATGAGAAGACATACCGAGCGGACTCCTTTGAGAGAGGTGACGGCATATCCTGCATCGCAGGACACAAATCCCTGCAGATCTTCGCTCTCGCTGAGCTTTCGCAATCACCCTCAATTCTCGTGCAATCTTATCCGTCTTTTGAGACAATTTACCGGCTGCAGAGTAAGTTTCCCACATCTTAGGCATGCTAGGAGTTTTCAGATAATTTTCCTGCACAGGTTCCGGCGTGACAAACTACCTTTCCTTGGCTTTCTCTGAGACAGAATATCTAATTGCTCTCACTGGAATTCCTGACTTTGGTCTGGAGATCTGGTGTTGGAGATCTGGACAGCTCTTGGCCACCCGCAAGAGTGGAATATTTGCCAGCGATCAGATTATCCTTTGTTCACCATCTCAGCCTCTAAGTCTCTGCCAATTGGCAACGAGAGTTGGAAAACTGACCATTTGGGATATTCACGTGTGCGTCGATACGATGAAATTGATCGAGAAGAAGATCAAACTGAGCTTCGATAGGGAATCCAGTCCCTTCACAGCCACTTATCTCTTCAGTGGTGCTCTTCTCGTGGCCACCAGGAAGGGGAGCGTTCATCAAATCTATCCTGGAAGCAATCAATCGCTTTGCATCGTTCAGGAGACCAAACAGGAAGTTTCTGCAGACTCTACGAGCCTCATCGCTCCGCATCAGGGTGGATTTCTTCTCTCAGTGAATCACACTATTCGCCTCTTCCAGCAGAATGGCACAGCGTTCACGGAAATGTGTTCTGTGTCTCCGGAGAATCTCCATTTGCGCTTCTTGGGTACGCATTCAAGTGACTTAATTGCTGGAGTGGATGAAACAGGATCTGTGTGGAAAATCCTCCTCACCGAGGGCAAGATTGACACCAAGGAGGTGAAGAAGCGCGAGAGAATCTTCCACATGATGAGCTTGATTAATCCTGGTGGCAATTTCTTAGCCACAATGGACAAAAGTCGAGGAGTTTCAATTTTCGAAGTGAGTTCTGGCAAATTGATATCGCAGTATTTGAAAGTTGGAGTTTCTGCTCATGATTCTCATCCACTCTTGCCAGTAATTTGTCTGGGATATTCTTCAGGACATGTAGAATTGTTGTCTCTGTACACCGCGGAAAATCCTCAACCTTTGGTTGGTTTTCACGTTTGCAATTCCCCAATAAGAATGATCAAATTCTCCGCAAATGCATCACAAATTGTTGTTTTTGATGCTGAGAAGGAGATGTTTGTGATTACAGGACAAATTGGGGGAATTATAGAGATCAAGAGACACTTCTCCCTCCCAAAGGACCTTCTGGATTTTGTCATTGCAGAAAATGGTGGGAATTTCTGGAAGATTTTCGCACTACTCAAGACTGATGGCTCAAAAGTTGCCTCTGATAAGACACTTTTGGCCACAATTACTGAAGAAGACGTAACATTTCGTCCTGTTTCGCATTGTGATAAGAAATTGACAGCAATTGCTGAAATGCGAAATGAACAGGACATTTTCGTGGCAACTTTCTACCTAGACTCCAATTTAAAGATCCTCAAATTGGCCGAAAATTCTGATCAATTGGAATTTGTGGTGCTGCAAGATGTGAAAACCGATCATCTCTTGGAGTACGTGAGAGTGAAGACTTGCGGAGATTTTATCCTCTCATGGGGACTCGATGGCCAAGTGTGTCTCTTTGATTCTCGCACAATGACTTGCATCACAAGCTTCATTTCTCACCATCGCAGGACTCACGGTGTTCAGAGGGCTGTCGTGAGTCACTCTCTGGAGTATGTTGTCTGCTTGGGATTCACCGGGAATCTCATTTGCTTCCGGCCGAATCTCAAAATCATGCCTCTCAGCCACTCAGGTGGGAAATTCGAGCTGAGTCGCCTGGAAATCCGCGAGAAGTGTCTCTGTCCGACAATAGGACACACTCCAGCGGCCACATTTGGCGACGCCTCGTGGCTGGAAGTGCAGCGAATGGAGCAGAAGAGTCGCGAGAGACAGAAGTATCAGGAGAAGCGTGATTCCATTCTCAGGGATTTGGACAATCTCAGGCGAGAGATTGGCAAATTGCTGGACAACAATGAAGTGTGTCCTGACGAGGAGAAACTGCCCATTCATGAGTTCAATTTGGACTCGAATCATGTGGAGAATATGATAAAGAGAGCCGAACGTGATCGTCAGGAGGAGATTGGGAAGATGCAGGAATTCATAGCGGCTCAGAATGAGATAACAGAGTGGATAAGGAAGTCGTGCTGGGATCAGATGTCTGTGAAGAGCACAAAAGTACGAGGGATTTTCTCCAGTCTCTTCATTGAAAATTATCCAGTGCTGCAGATTGATGAGATCTGGGAAAAGCGACTCAGTCAAATAATGATGTGGATTCGACTGGAGAATCTCACCAATTCGGACAAATTTCTCCCGTGGAAACCCATTCCCACCAGTCAGCTGGAGTATGTTCTGGCCCAGGAGCCGAGAATTTTGTCATTGGAGAAAGTCAAGGTAGATGATGGCAAGGCAACAAGAACTCCATTGGCTTCTGGAACGTCTGCCCGTGAATTTATCACCTCGCAGTTGCCGCGATACAATCAATTGGAAGTTGTGACCTTTGAGCAGATGCACGTGGAGAAGATCTTTGGATATTTCGATGCACTGGCGCTGAGGGAGTTCTTCAACGAGCAATTCAACGATTTGCAGGAGCGCAAGGAGCGAGAAATGGAGATTGTGAAGGAGAGAAACAATCGTCTGCGAGACATTCAGAGTGAATTGAATATTCTCTCTGAACTCCTTGAGACAAACATCGTGTATGAGGATGAAATCATCGATCCTGAGTACACGCCCGAAGAGAAACCACACACAATTGTCCAGGTGACCGATGAGGAAGTGCCCGTTGAGCCGTACATATCGCCCAGCATGCGGGAATTGATGGAGAAGGAGGCTTTTGAGGCCGAACAGAAGCGCCTTGCGTTGATGGCGGATGACTTCCGTGAGAGGGCTTTGCAGCAAATGATGGATGGTGTTCTTGAGATTCGCTGGGAGGATGAGATCAAGAAGATGCCCGTCATTCCGGCGGCTGTGCAGACGAAGAAGGATCTGCGGGAGTATGATGAACATGACTGGAGAGCAGTGAGAGAATATGAGGAGAAATTGAATTTCCTCGATGCTGAGCGGGAAAAGTATCGAGATCAGTTGCTGTGCGAGAAGCACAAGCTGCAGGAGACTCTGGATCGGCAGATTTACGTGTTCAACAGGAAGTTGGCAGAAGTGGCGAAGATCAAAGTGAAGGTGCAGATGGCAATCAATCAGGAGGATCTGAAGATTCTCCGCAATGCCATGTACAATTACAAGAGGATTCAATTCACGAGGCAAGAGCATGAGATTCGCCAGGAGATCATCAGCATCAAGAGGCAGATTAATGCCCTCACCGCCACGATGCACGATGCCGAGAAGAGAGCGATGGACTGTAAAGTGAATTATGACGCTCTTGAGTCGAAAGATCGCCTCCTGGACAAGCAGTTCAAGAATAACTTCGGCGAATTTGCATCCATATCGATAGTGGATCAAGCTTATAAGCTGTTCAAGTGAGTTTATCACTGAGTATTACTCCTTAAGACGGAGAAAACTTGTAGCTTTTGCTCTTTTAGGCGTCGGCCGAGGTGGACAATGAGAGCCTGGGCGACTTCTGTGATCCTCATGGATCTCGCGAGGAGAGTCATAAGTCGGAATGTGTCAAAATCCGGTCCTCCACTGCCGCAGGAGTGCTTCGACTACCTGAACCTCATCGAGCAGATTGATCAGCCGGCGAATTGTCCCACCATGGATGAGAAACTGTGGGATCTTCTGTGTCGAATGCGTCGCATTAAGATTGAGAGTGAATTCAAGGTGCGCAGCTGTGGCGTTCAGCTGGCTGAAGCGGACGCTTGTGTGGATGCTTTGGCGCGGGAAATTGGCGCACGCAGAACCACTCTGGCAGCCCTGGATAAGAAGCTGGAGGATCTGAAAGAGAACCGAGTATAATTAGATTTAGAAAGGGTTATTTTAATGTATGTCTCCTCAATTAATGATGCAATTTTCTTCATGCACAGCAAAAGAATTCCGTCAATCGCACCATTCAACTTGTGATGAAGCGTGGAAATGTTGAAATTCCACTGACTGGCAAAATTTCTGACTTTGACGACGCAATTTTACTCTCTGTGATTGATGTCGATGACATCAATCGGGTGATTAAGAAATCTGGCCAGAAGAAATTGGTGGCCATGTCCAATGCGGCCGTCTTCCGGCGAAAGCTCATTCACAAGGAGTGGGAGCACAGAGTCCTCAAGATGACCATCAGAGACATGAAGGACTTCGTCAGGGTGATTGAGAAATGCAAGGTATGAAAGGAATGTGGGCCAATTTTCCGTGTCTAAATGAAGTGCCACTCTTTCACGGCTAGATTACAAAAGAGGTGCAAACGTGGTTGAAGCGGAAACAGAAGGGCTGGACAGAGGATGTCAGCCAGGCGGCGCTGAATCGTGAA